CTGTGGACTTTAGGATTGGTCCTTCCTTAGGTGTATTTGGGATTTTCTTTTGGGGTCATCCTTCAAGGCTTTAGGATAGTTTTTGAGCATTTTTGAAAGAGACTTGCGAGGTGGAAAATGCAAATATTTACGGCGGGTGGCTTACTTTGATTAAAAGTTCACTTTTAAGTCTAACTGACCTATTTAATGCCTCTCCATATGGTGGCTTTGGTATTCACCATTTTTTCCAGTTTAATCAAACTTTGTTAGGGAACTGGTTGTGGAGATATACGGAGGATGGGACATCTGTGGAGAAAAGTGACTCATTGCAATTTTGGTGTTGGCTCAAGGGGTTGGCTGTCTGTGAAGCTTGAGAATCATTTGGAGTAGGTTTTGTGGAAAGTCTGGCCAGAGTTCTTCAAGAATGTGAGGTTTGAGCTGAATGATGGTAGTGGAATATAGTTTTGGCATAATTTTTGGTTTAAGGATGTTCCTCTATTGCCAAAATTTCTTGAAGGATGTGAGGTTTGGGTTGGTGGATGGTAGTGGAATGCAGTTTGGCATATTTTTGGTGTAAGGATGTTTTCCTCTATTGGTGGTATTCCTGAACTTTTTTGGCATTGCGGTAATGAGGAGACACTGTAGTGAACTAATTTAGAAATGAGGAGTGGGGGTTGTTTGGGACATTCTTTATTGGGACTCTTCATGACTGAGAGGTGAGGGATTGGTGGAGTTTCTTGCTATTCTTTATGGAATTAAGATTCCTCCTATTACAAAGTCAATATAAACTTCAGTTGGCATCTAATTGGTATGGTTGTTTATTTGCCCCGTTGTTAGTAAATGTGAATGTGCTATCCATCATATCTATCAACTAATATACCACAATGCTTGCATCTGAACAGTAGGAGGCAAAATTTTTTATAAATCCTATTCTGGTCGAGTGATAATTTTTTCCACTTCTGCCCTTTTTCATGGAAGCAGCTGTGAGTTAGAGATTCAGTTTAGCAATTGAAAGGATATCCATGTAATTTTTTGATTAATTATCCATTTCCTTCTTCCCCCAACAGGAAAAGGGACGGCCATTGCCGAAGTTCGGTGAGTGGGATGTGATGACCCCGCATCAGCTGAGGGGGTTTACGTGATCTTTAATAAGGCCAGGGATGAGAAAAGACGGGTGGCAAACCTGATTCACCAGCAAAGGCAGATTCTAACCTTAAGAATGGAGAGGACCCTGTCAAGCCTCGCGGTAAGTTGTTCTTTGCTTATTCACTATTGCACCTACCATTTTCGGTAGTTGAATATATTTCTATAGGCTACTGAGTGCGTTGTCTACTTTCCCACTGAAAGATAACGTGTGCACTAAGATTTTATAAAGTCTATGGTATTTTTAATTTAAATTTATAGAATTAAATTTTTAAAGCATATTCTGAGTTGGTATAGATTTATTTAGTTTCCTTATTTGAGATGATTTAGTCTTCTGGTTTATATTAGTTTTTGATATAATTTCATTTGCATTAATCTTGATGTTTGTTCCCATTCTGTGACGACAGCACCATCTACTAGTTTCCACAGAGTTGGGGATTTCAATTTTCTGCATTCCGCCTTGGGATCGTTCTTAATTAGAACTCAACCAATTAGATGATCTCAATCCACATTACATATACTAAGAAATGTCTAAAGTACCAATGTTGGACTCTCGACACTTTGCCAAGGGTATGGGATATGTGGCTGGCATGTGTGGTTAACATTCACCTAGCAAGTATATCTAGTAATTTGAATTAACCATAAAACTCCGCATAAAACCTTTAATATGATGCATGAAATGCTCTATGGCACCTTACCAAACACCATCAAGAAATATGAATTTTTTCCATGTCTCCTTGTCTTTGTACATGGGAGTAAATGCGGTGGACACTAGTTAACACCCCACAACTTACTCATCCAAGTCCATGTTCATAGATCTCAATCCATTCCATAGCAATCTTTAGGATCATTGGTGGACCGTGGAAGATGACATTACACAAGAAAAAGAAGTTGTTGATTTGGTCGTGTCCTCTCACCTATGAATGGTCAGTTTGCTGTCTGGTTAATACTTAGAAGGAACACGAGTCTCTCTGTTCTTGCCTCGTTCATGGACAAATTTGGCCAAATCGGCACCTTGTATTGGATCATCCTTCTTGGTGCTCATTTCTGTGCCTATTTCCATGACCTAAGCCGTAGATGGAGGAAGTTTTAGCATTTTTATGCTATTATTGTTAACCAACAGTCTAATAATAACATTAGAATAGCTTTCTCAAATCAGAAGCACACAAAGAAACATCTGAACGTTATTGTTGGGCTATTTGTTTTCTTATTATTTGCTAATATGGAAGACGTACTGATTTGCAGAAAAAATGGTTTTGCTGCATGCAAGCCCCGGATTGCTGAATCTTGAGGCTATTTCCCTGAGCAAGGGCTTCAGTAGAAGAACATGTTCATAGTTGGTCCCACCACATTTTAGGAGCTGTTAGATCGATGATGGGTGGCTGCTTGAATCCATTTTATGTATTGTAAAACTGCATTTTGGTGTGGGGAAAGAGTTAAAATATGAAAAGAAAAAAAGGGCAAAAAAAGAAAAAGAAAAAAAAAGAACTTTATTGTATGTATATGTTCTGATTTGGTGGATTATCAATGTGAAAGCTTTAGCTATTTGTTTGTGTCTCTGCCTTGTACTATGGGCTGTAGAGCTTGTCCAGTCTATGATTTTTTTTTTCTTTCTATTCCTGTCTTTACATGGAAAAAATAACTCATCTCATGTCTTATTTTGATTAGTGGAGTAGTTTTTTGGTTCATGTTATCCTCTCGGACCTCCCTTTCCCTTTTTTTTTTTTTTTTTTTTTTTTTTTTTTTTGGGGACAAATCCTAGGCAGTTATTTGATTTTGTTTTAAGAATCTGTTTCTGAAAAACATTAAAACTAATTTGGTGGTAAAAAAAAATTGAAATTTTTTTGTACTACATTTTATTTGGGTGAAAGAATATTTTTAAAAAGGTATTTTTAAGTGTTTATTTTCACCAAATTAGCTTTTATTATTTTTAGAAAACAGATTCTGAAAACAAAATCACAAAGTCATATCCATGTTTGTTGGCAGGAAAACTGCCAACATTGGGCAACTAATATCAACTCCTGATATACCTAATCACCCCGTTCTTGACTGATCTATAAACCAAAAATTGATCACAATGAGCAATCACATGCATCAGCTGCAACAAACAACTAATTTCAACTTCTCATGTACCTAAATGCCTTGTTCTTGATCGGTCTACAAACCAAAAGTCGCCCACAACAATCACAGGCATCAGTCGGCACTATTGTGTACCCGACCACTTTGGCTGCCACACGTTCAATGATGTTTACTGAAACTGAAATTTCACTGATCAAAATGGAGAATTTATAAATAAAACAGAGAAACATGATACATTTTATTTCTTGCTCACCTGCAATGGAGTTAGGCCAACAAATCAGAAAAATTTCAAAGACAGTTCTCTTAATTTTAATCATCCAAAGTCAAAAACCCTCCATTTTAAATTGCTAATGGTGTCTATACAATCTTTCTTTAGATCCAAAATTCTGAAAACATAAACATGACAAGACAAAAGCAAAACCTAAACTCTGGACATCCCTAGCTTCCGATCAAACAGGCGTCGTAGAAGGTAAACTTGGAGAACGCTAGCCCCGATTAGAGCAGCTGATTCCCACAAAGCTTTGTGAACAGCCCTCCGGCTCATTCCTTCGTTCACTACATTACAGTAAAAAAACCATAATCAAATTATGCACACAGAATATAAACAAATGAATAAGATTTTAAAAATTTTGATGATGAAATCCACATCTAAGAAAATCTTATTCATCCATATACACTGGATAAGATTTTACGAAATTTTATAATTTAACATAAGCTGAGGCTCCATGGGACTTCCTTATGCTCCAACTGAGGAACATATTTCCCATCAAACTATTTGGAGAACAAAAAATGATGAGTTCTTCAGTCTAAAATGCCATCAGAGATGGAAAATAGAAAACAGTCTCAAGCCAAAATTAGCAGGTTAGGCATATAGTGTTTCAAGACAAGGAAAAACCTAGCGCCTGGCTTTCAGTCTGAGCCTCGAGCCAATGCTGTTCAAACTGAATGTTGTATAAAGCCTCCTCCAACTTTGATATTTGTTCTAACAAAGGGGTGAAATGCTCTGCAGAAGTGCACGAGAATCGAGATAAAGTTCTATACTTTAAAGGTTCACTAAAAACAGAATCAACAAAAGCCACGGAAACACAGCTCACCATCTTTTGCATGTTGATCCATGTATGAGAAGTGAGCTTCATGTACATCAAAATCCACAGTTTCATGATAAGGAGACTTGTTAGTGAAGCAGAAATGGTGGATTCCTTTTTGGTGAGCCACAAACTCGGACTTCTCACTCGTCTTGTCACGAAAATCATGAATCTGCTCACCAGAAGGTCCCTTCACCTGATAATCTCAGCAAGGTTGCAAGATTCATCATTTTTATTTTTTACAAAAAAAAAAAAACAAATACAAGCATAAATAAATAAATAATATTGCCAATATTTGTATTACATGGGACTCTTCTACTTTCCTCCATTGTCCCCGTATCCATTGGATATGACAAGGGTGCAAGGGTGTGGAATATGTATCTGGTACCCGCACCCAATTTAGATATGTATCTAACTTAGTGTTACATGGACTCTTCATTTTTCCCTTTCCTTTTCCTTTTACTTTTCCTTTCTCGTGAAGGCAAATCCTCCTAGAAGCCAGCATGCCATCACGACTTGCAATAATTTCTAATGTTGCCTTCACAACTTTGGTCAACTCAATTATATCTTCATATAGACTATGTCTTTGTCATGAAATTATTAAAAATGACGGTATACTATTTTTCAGAAAATGGTGGTTCTAAGTGTGCAATCATCACTTTTTTTTTTTAAATTAAGAAATTTCTGTTCCTCATATGTGCTTTCAAAAACACTTATTAACGAAATTAGATGTTTTCTAAGAACTTCACTGCAAACCAAATATTAGTACATAAAGTCACAAGATGCCTAATATTCATATATGCAATTACCCAAGCTCGTTTGGAAAGTTGCTATTTTTTGAGCATGTTTGGGAAGTGGCTATTTCGGTTGGCTTTTTGGCTTTTTATGAAAAGATGTGCAAAAAGTAGGGAGAGTGATGTGACAACTTATAATAGCTTATTGGCTATATTAGCCAAATGCCAAACAAGCTCAAATATCACATGCCACAGTTACACGACCTCCCCTTGGATCTAGAGTCTGATACGTATGGGTATGCATCCCAAAATGGACAATTACATATGGTGTGTGACTCATTTTGTTGACGACCAATTTGGGTAGCCCTCGAGATGAATTCGGCCACAAACAAGAAAAATGTACAGAAATCTTACGTCACCTAACAATCTGATCAACAAACCCTTAAAATAAATCCCAAATACCAGCCTAAACAGACATCAAAGCCAGTAAGACCTCCTATTGCAAGTAAAACATATTAAAGTCCAAAAGAATTAACTTCCATCACGTAACTTGATAGATGTTTTTGATAACCTTTTGCCAATTTTAAATTGTCCAATTTTACAAATCTACCTTGTTATAGATGTTTTTGATAACCTTTTGCCATTAAGTTAAAAACATTCCTTACAAATTAATATCGCATCATTTCATCACATATAAAACTAAAAAGATCAGTACATGCTAAACTTCAACCCTACTCCAAGGATCGTGCATTGGCACAAGAATCATTCCATTATAAAAGAACTAGAAGGCTATGCAAACACGCAATGCATGTGAAGAAATGACGGTTTTTTATCTAGGAAAAATAAACCGAATGTAGATAGAAGGGTAGAAAAACTGAAGAAATCAAATTTCAAATAAAAAATCTAGCTTTAAAACATGTTTTGAGTTGTGTGCTTTTATAAAATAGAATAGATTGAATAGACAATTGATCATACCCTTAGGATTTCCTTCAGCACAAAATAATTTATTGAAAAACTCTAGTGACAACGAAAAGGAATGTGTACTTTTTCTCAAAGATCCAAAACCATTGCATTTTGAGCAAGTTATTGATCCTTCATTCCAAAAACAGCCTCTTCTATGGAAATCCATCATTTTACATAACAATCAATTGAACACTCTTTTGGTTTCTCAAATTAAAGATTCTTGTAAAACAGTATTAATCATCAAATAGCTGATAACTAGTTAAACCTAATTGTTCTAGATATTTGTGTTATCAACTTATCACACAATCAACAAAAATTAAACATAGCATATCACTGTATAAAATCAGAGACAAGTTGCTCTGAAGTAAAGCTTACCACAAGATCAACCCCATCGGGAGCATAATGCCACGAACCTTCGGACTTAATAACAACAAAGGAGAAATGAATTGTGTCGCCGTCGTATTCAACCTTGTGTGAGAAGCATTCCTCCCTATCAATCACAAATCTAATCCCAAAGACCGATTGCAGGCTTGACAATAAAATTGTGAGTGTCACAACCACAGCAAATTCAGTGGACCAAATTTTCATCTGAATTAGAATTCAAATTCCATGAATTGTTTAGCACAGTGCAAATAACTCCAAATTTTGAAAGGAACTAGAAAAGAGAAGTTTGTAAATCAACGTCAATTATAGAATCAAAACCCTTGTTTGTTTTCGGAGGAAAAAAATTGATGGGTAAAAAATATTTTAACTTTAGGGGCTAGAAGACAATCTCTACTGCAAATTCAGGGGACCAAGTTTTCATCTGAATTAGAATTCATATTCCACACATTGTTTAGCACAGTGCAAATAACTCTAAATTTTTGAAAGGAAGAACAAATGGACTAGAAAAGAAAAATTCACAAATCAACCTCAGCTATGAATCAAAAACCCTCGTTTGTTTCCAGAGAAAAAATTTATTTGGACAAAAAAGATTCGAACCTTAGGCTAAAAAAAATTCTATTCTGTAAATTCAGGGACCAAGTTTTCATCTGAATAATTAGAATTCAAATTCCAGGAATTGTTTAATAACTCTAAATTTTGAAAGGAAGAAATCGAACTAGAAAAAGAGAAATTCACAAATCAACTTCAACTACAGGATCTAAAACCCCTGTTTTTTTTAGAGAAAATAATTCCTTGGACAAGAAAATTTTGAACTTTAGGCTAAAAAAAAAGTTGAAAATCAATGAAACAACAAAAACCCCTTTTTGTTTCCAGAGAAAATGACCGAGAAAACAATTGGTTGGACAAAAAGATTGGAACTTTAGCCCAAAAGACATTTTCTTCTGGAATTGAACATAAAAAATAAGGTAAAATTGATCTCTTGGAGATTGGAATTCTGTTGTGGAAATGAAAATCGAACTAGGGATCGGAGAGAGAGAGAAATTACCATTTCTGATTTGATATAATCTGAAGAACCGAAGCTGACCTTCTCGTTGAATTTGATCTAAATCTATAGATACAGATAGATAGATATAGATTCCAGAGACAGAGAGAGAGAAACAAGGGTTTGAACTTTTCTTGTTGGAGTTAGGAACAACGAAGGCGAACTGTGCGTGTCTTCGGTTTTTATATAGCGGACGAGACGAGACGAGACGAGAACCGTGAGATTCGATTCGGAGATTTTTGCGTGCAAAACGGTTGCGTTTTGTGAACTTTTGCACAACAACGTTGTAGGAAGGTAATGGGATGTTTGCGAAGTTGGGTGATAAAATAGATTAAGATATTTAATAAAATAAAATATTATATTTAAATTATAATTATTATTATTTTTTTATAATCATCAAATCGATTATAATAAAAGCTAACCAACTTTCTAAATATAATATTTTTATTCAAATTGAAACAATTAACAAATCAACTAAAATAGTTAACTGTTTTAAACGAAGCCAATGTTTGTGGTTTAGTCAAGCGGGGTAAAACACTTTGGTGATTGAAGATATGATGATTGATGAAAGGCAAAGACACATGCGGTGTCTCTAGTAAAAGCCGATGTGAAATAATTTGATTGCATAATTTTTGTTACATATTTTTATATAATTTTTTAAAGATAAATTATATTATTTATAGATTTTAAAAAGGATTTAGAAAGAATAAAGAAAAAATTCATTTTTAAATTTTTTCTCCAATCTTGAAATCAAACACAACCTTCAAGTTTGGTTTGTGTTTATAGAGTAGTTTTTTAGATAAAAAATACGAAAACTTGTTTGGTTTGTCTTTTTTAAAAAATTATTTTGAAAAATTATTTTGGGAAGAGAGTTTTAAAAAAGTGATTGATTTGATGTGTATAGGTAACCAAACAAAATTTTGAGATTTTTTTTGAAAAAATTTGTTTGGTTTGATTATACTTGAAAATTTGTTTGTAGAGAATTTTTCCAAAAATTTTTCTGAAAAACAAACCAAACAATGCCATAATAATTTTTATAGTTTTAACATAATTATATTGAGTTTTCTTATGATTTTAATTCACATAACATTTAATTTATTTCTCATAAAAAAATCATTCGTCATATGGATGAAAAAATCATGTTGTCATTATTTTTGTACAATGAAATGATATTTTCCTAATTTATTTTTGGGGTAAATTATATTTTGTACTCATGTACTTTATACTAAACCTCACTTTGACCCCTACATATGAAATCATCACTGTCAAATCTCACTTTGGTTCCTGCATATGAAATTATGACAGTCAACCTCTTACACTTCTGGTCAAATCACACTTTAGTTCCTACACAAGTGTCAACATCCCCTTTCTGTTACTCAATTATCTAAATCTTTATCAGAATATAGTAATATGATAAGAATGTGATTACGACATACGGGTAAGAAAAGAAAAATCATCTATATTTTCCACCAATATACACTTTATACCAAAATTTATATCAAAATATGACTGTATTAGGCTAAAACAAAACGCAGATTGTGAACAAGTAAAAGATAAACTGGGGTTTTGCATAAATTGGAATCATGAAACTCTATTTTTCATGGTAACAAAGTTTTATGTCTATTCATCTTTCTTTCTCTTTGATTTCTTTGTCACATTATTTATTTATTTATTTCAAAAGCTCTTATTTCTTGCATTTTCATCTTAATTTTTACCATATGAACACACACACACACACATATATATTGTATTATATAACTCTCATGTACTTATCACGTAGGATAAAGTGTATTGGTGGAAAATATGGATGATTTTCCTCTTTTACCCTCATTTTGTAGTCACATTTTTGCCACGTAACTAGATTTATGTTCAAGATTTAAAAATAAAATAACAAAAGAAGGACATTGACATTTGTGTAGAGACCAAAGTTGGAATTGAGTAAAAATACAAGGAGTTAACTGTTACGATGTCATGTGTAGGGACTAAAGTAGATTTGACCAAAAATGTAGGGGGTTAATTGTCATGATTTTATATGTAAGGACCAAAATGAGATTTGGTACAAAGTGTAAGAGTGCAAACTATAATTTATCCTTTTGTGTATACACATCACTTATATTAATTTTAGTCATTTTAATTTTATTAAAAAATAAATCAATATAATCTTGTCAAATTATAAAATTTAAGAACAATTAGTCTAAGGTCCCTCTCCAATTTTTAGTAATGGAAGAGATTCACAATATTATTTTATGATGTCTAAGGTCCCTCAACCTCACATCTATATATTACAGAGAAATTTGACTCTCTCACATCAAATCTCATTTCTTTCTCTTTATCTTCCAAGGCTTTGATGAACAAGATCAGAACTCTCGACTCTCGGACCAAGGACTCTCTTAACACACCACTCGGTAGAACAACCTGGAGGCTCAAACACGACTGCCAACAAACATGGCTACCGAACCGGAGCAAGAAAGCATTTACCGGAGTGATATAGGCACCCAAATCACAACAAATCTTACTAGAATGAACCCGCAGAGTAGTGCTGGAGCACCTACTCGCGTGAGGCTACCGGAGTAGACCAGGGCAGCAACACACCGCACAATCACGTTGGCATAACTAACGCCGGAAGAGAACAAACCAGGGCAGAAAAGTATCACAGATGAAACGCTTATAGCCAAAACCAGTGACTTACCACCTTCGACGCCAATAGAAACCATCTCGCCGACGAACATGCCTAGGACGAACCCACTGTTTGGGAAAAAAATTCCAATTCTCACTAGACCAACTTCTCTTATATGACTAAATAACTAGATCATGGATACAAACTGGTTTAATGGAACAACCATGAATCACAGACCCACCATGAATCACAAGCCAACCAACGGGGGGGAGCTTTCTCTCTCTAGAGAGAGAAGCAAGCTCCTACTTTCTGGGATTTTCTTTGAGTTGCGGAGTCCAGAGAAATTCTTTGGGTTGAGAGAATTTCTCTGGAAATATTTGTCTGAGAATTTTCTTTGGGTTGTGGAATCCAGAGAAATTCTCTGGGTGAGAGAATCTCTAGAAATGTTTGTCTGAGAATTTCTCTGGGTTTGGGGAGTCTAGAGAAATTAAATTTCTCTGCACCGAATTTTCTCTAGATCAATGTTGAGGGACCTTAGATATTATGAAAACATAAAATCTTAATACCAGGGACCTTAAAAAAAAATCCCCTAAAATTTAATGTATTTTCTCTAAATTTGAGGAGAAATTAATATAATTTACCCCATCTTCTATCATAAAGATGTGGGAGTCATATTTTAGTAATTATAATGAATCTATACTTTTAAGGCAGTGGCTTTGGTCCAGTTCAAGATCGGACTGGACCGTGCTGTTGGGCCCGTGGGGGCCCACCATGGGTCCCATTTTGATAATCCGAACCGTTCAATGTGTAGAACTCGTCGAGTACTATATGTCCGTAAAAAATCACGTTGATCGGATATCGATAGCTATGTGAACAAAACAGTTTTTTATCAACTGTTAAGGGTGTGTTTGGTAACGTTTACGTTTTCAGTTTATATTTACAAAAATTTTATAAACTTGTTTTTGTTTATTTTTAGAAAAACAGAAACTACAAACGCGTTTGGTAATTGACAAAATGTTTAAAAAAATTTAAAAATATAAAAAAGTGTGAGAAATGGCAAGTGGTGGCAAGTGGCGGTGGAAGACGGTGGTGGAAAGTGGTGACAGTGGGTGGTGGGTAGCTAGTGGTGGTGGTGGTGGCCGGTGGGTGGGTGACGGTTGCGGGTGGTAAGTGGTAGCGAGTGGATGGTGGTGGTAGTAGTGGTGGGTGGTGGCAGGTGGATGGCGGGTGGGTGGCAGGTGGGTGGTGAGTGGTGGTGGCAAGTAGGTGGCAGGTGGTGGTGGCGGGCGGTGGATGGTAGTGGCGGGGGGGGGGTGGTAGCGGGTAGATGACAGGTGGGTGGTAGGTGGTGATGGTGGCGAGGGGTGGATGGTGGTGGCGAGTGG